TTATCTATAGGATACAGGCACAGGGAGTTCCATTGTCTATAGGTTTGGAGTTTGGGTACATTTCCTCTCGAAGGAACTTCTTGAGTTAAGACAACCTATAGCTGACCCCGTGTGTATGTGACAAATTTGCCCCCTGGCCGTTAAGTAGAATAAATCTATATCACAAGTTTGGGGTCATTGGGGTTCCTGACTTAAAGGTATTCTCCCTCCCCGCAGTTTTCCTTCTGCTGCCTTGTGTTGTACTGTTAAACTGAGAGGCACTAATGACTGGATGAAATCAAACTATTGCTGTGATGTAGGTCAAAATGATCTTCATTGGTTAGTTTTTTACCCAGGGCAGTGCATGGCACTCACTAAGTCTCTTGGGGATCCACCTGTGAATCATTTTAAAGAAATTTTTCACTTCTTCACTTGCACAGATGTACAGTCAGGAAGGATTACAGTGCAAATGCTCCAGTAAAGAAAAAAACATGAGAGGGTTTCTACACAGCCACTTCATGCTTGCCTTGGAAGTAAAAGGGAATGTGCCAATGTAACTGCCTGCTGGTGAACAACCTGGCACTGATGTTTCTAGTTCAAGCCTTTGTACAGCTGTGCAATAAAGGCTTAACAACTCATGTGGCTTGCTGCAAGTTGTCTGTGATAATATAATGTGTTCTTATTTTGTGGGGAGGTTTACTGTGAAGACAGCAGAATAGTCTAACCAAAATTTTTGTTATATTAGGTGGGGAAAAGCCAGAGACAGAAGACTCTGTGTATGATAGTCAAGAGAATGGGGACAGGGAGAGGAGTTGCGGCTGTGGAGGGGGGCAGGAAATGAGGATGGGTGGTAGGCAAGCCTTGAATTGGTTGTTTGGGAAAACCTGTATTTTACGAGCCCCTGGGGGAAGGGAGAGGCAGGGGCAACAAGTGGCTACTTTCTGATCTTGGGGCAGATGTATGTTTTTTTTTCCAAGACACATAGTATGGAAGTTTGGAACTGAAGCCCAGGCACCTGGACTTCTGAGGGGGAATAAATGTGTGTGCTGCCAGGGTTGCCACTGTGTTGATTCTGGGTGATTCCTGGATCATGATGTTGCAGAAGTTTGCATGAGAGCAAGGAGTACACCATAACAGGGGATTGCTGACTACAGGCTGATTTGGGTGGAGAGAGCTGGCTAGTGTTGGCATCAAGTTTTGCCCACTTTACAGAATCTAACTGGTGATGAAGAGGTTGTGATCTATTGGACATTGTGGTGATTCACTTGGATGGAAATGATCTGGGCCTTATTCCTGGTGTACACCTTGGACAATGTATGAAAGGAGATTTGGACCACATCAGAGATTTATGTCCAAGAGCTGTGAAAGTTTTCTCTGATCTGTCTGAGCATCTGAATAATGACTACAGGGGCAATGTGAAAGCTAGTACTAAGTATTGGAAGAACATTAATTGGGAAATTGGAGGGTTCATGGATGACTGGAAAATGTGTACTGTTTGCCATAGAAACATTACAAGTTCTCTTGCCTCACTGTTTCTTGGAGATGAGGTACATCTGTTGGACAGGGATCAGAGGATCTTTTTCTGAGACATAAAATTGTCCATATTTTGGAACGGAAACCCTATCTCTTGCTGGCACAGCCACACACTCCACCTTCCAATCATTCTGAAACATGACCCAGAATACCAGTCCACTATAACATAGTTATCCTTCACGCCAGTACTCCATGTGAGTCATGTTATTGGGGATAGAGGTTGGAGGTGGGAAGTAACAGCAATAGAAATGTTTGGATACCAAGGAGTGAAGACTTCGGTGGGATGTGTTCCCTGCTTGTTGGTGAGGGCCAGGGTACAGTAATGGGAAGCGGGCCAGGTTGGAGGGTGGAATGCAGTGAATGGGTCAGGAGTGTGGTTGTGTATGTGTGTCAAAGCAGGGCTGGTTTGGCCTTGGTGGATGGGGTGGCTAGGCCTTGCTGGCTTGGTATGCAAATTGTGGGACTTGATATGTACAACTGCCTAAATGACTACTTACTCCTACTAACAACTTATCTTTGCCTGTTCAAAAAAGCTAAAATCCATTGGCAAAAAACTACGTTAATGCAGAGTGAAGATTGCTTGGTGGTATGTTGTCTCCTTGCAGAATGCTGAGTTGAGCAAAATTCAAATTTCTGAAAAATATGAAATGTACAGTTAAAGTGCCCATGCAACCTTAACTCTGTTGTCTTTTAGCAGTGTTCCAATACGCCACGTTAATAATAATATCTTTATTCTATCAACCCCTCAGTTGCTGAAATGTACAAACTCTTCCTCTCTTTTTATTACCCATTCACTCTCACCCGCAGGATTCCATTTAACACTATTAAAAGTTTGTTATTTGCTTGTCCATTTGAAAGTTCTCTATGCCACCTTCCCTCTACTCTCTTTGAGCAATACCTCATGCTGGCCGGTGGCACTATAAAATTCAGGAGGTTCCAGATCCTGGCATAGGCTCACACACTTGGTCAACTCCCCAGAAAGAATACCACACCTGTACAATTTAAAAGTCACTTCACAGCCTTTTATACCTCTCTTACACATACTCACATGATACTGTCTCAACCTACACTTTACTTAACCATCATAAGAATCCTCTCATATTCCACCTCACTGCTGACAATATCTCTTGTAATAAAAGCCCTATGCTCTGCTACTGACATAACCTACACAATTCTGCATAGAAATTATTCATACTGAAGGTATACATGCATCTCTCTTTTCACACGAAGGAGCAAGATACAGATCTCTTCATACATGATCACAGCTCTGTCACACACCTCCAAGTATTCCACAGATTTACTAAACAGGCCCAACTACTGCTTCCACCAGTTAGTGTACGTATACCTAACACACTGACTGCAGATGGAGTGTAAGCAAATAATTCCCATTGGCTATTGCCAGCTCCAGGGGAACAGAGGGAAGGTGGTATGGGCATTTCCTGCCCCTTTTTTTTTATATAGAAAGACTCTACTTCTAGGATATTCTAGAGAAAGATGCTGACTATTAGACAGTTATTACCATGTGTGAAATATTAGTCAAAGTCTTGGTTAAGCAGCTGTGCTTTAATTAGATTTAAGGTCTTCAAAGTACACTTAAAAGCTATTTCTATACGCTGGTCTCTTAAGACAGTTTAAGAATATTGCCTTTGAAAGTATTTAAATCTTTTAATTACTACGGGCAGGTCTTCACTACCTGCTGGATTGGCGGGTAGAGATTGAGCTATTTGGGATCAATTTGTTGCATCTCATCTAGACGCTGCTAAATTGATCCCCGAACGCGCTCCCCGTTGACTCCGGAACTCCAGCTCGCGAGAGGTGGAAGTGGAGTCAACAGGGGAGCGGCGGCGGTCAACTTGCCGCCGTCCTCACGGCCAGGTAAGTCGACCTAAGATACGCCAACTTCAGCTACGCTATTCGCGTAGCTGAAGTTGTGTATCTTAGGTCAACCACCCGCCCCCCTCCCAGTGTAGACCAGGGCTATGAGTTATCCTGTCTTTCTTTTGTTTAGCTTCTCTTGTGAAAGGGTTGGATTATTTTTGGGATACAGGAATGTAAATGGAGTTCAGTATGGAAGCTCTAGTTGGGGATAACTGTTTTTTTTTTCTCTTCTATATGGTGTATGGAAATTTAGTTTTGCAAATCCCTCTAACTTCTATTGAAGTCAAATGGTTAAATCCCTGAGAATGGTGCTGAAATTCTTTCCATAAGTCTGAAATAATAGTTCCATAACTCAAGTATCCAGGGGTAGCCGTGTTAGTCTGTATCCACAAAAACAACAAGGAGTCCGGTGGCACCTTAAAGACTAACAGATTTATTTGAGCATAAGCTTTCAGATGCATCTGAAGAAGTGAGGTTTTTTACCCATGAAAGCTTATGCCCAAATAAATTTGTTACTCTTTAAGGTGCCACCGGACTCCTAGTTCCACAACTGGAGCCTTTGTCAGCTATGTCTGTCTAGAACAGGGGTGGGCAAACTTTTTGGCCTGAGCACCACCTCTGGGTATGGAAATTGTATGGCGAGCCATGAATGTGCATGAAATTGGGAGTTGGGGTGCAGGAAGGGGAGAGGTCTCTAGCTGGGGGTGCAGGCTCTGGGGTGGAGCCAGAAATGAGGAGTTCAGGCTGCGGGAGGGGGCTCTGGGCTGGGGGTTGGGGTGCAGCTCCAGCTGGGGGTGCAGGCTCTGGAGTGGGGCTGGGGATGAGGGTTGGGGGTGCAGGAGGGTGCTCTGAGCTGGGACCAAGGGGTTCGGAGGGCGGGAGGGGTATCAGGGCTGGTGCAGGGGGGTTGGGGCACAGAAGGGGGTCAGGCTTTGGTTGGCGCTTACCTCAAGCAGCTCCTGGAAGCAGTGGCATGTCCCCCCTCCAGCTCCTACGCGGAGGCGCAGCCAGACAGCTCCCATTGGCTGCAGTTCCCGGCCAATGGAAGCTGTGGAGGCGGTACTTGGGGTGGGGCAGTGTGTAGAGCCCCCTGGTTGCCCCTATGTATAGGAGCCGGGGGGCGGGGGACATGCTGCTGCTTCCAGGAGCCACAGCACACGCGGAGCGGGGCAAGCCCCTGACCCCACTCCCTGACGGGAACGTCGGAGTGGGGCAAGCCCTGGACCCTGCTCCCCAGTGGGAGCTCGGGGGCCGGATTAAAACGTCTGAAGTGCCAGATGCAGCCCCCGGGCCATAGTTTGCCCACCCCTGGTCTAGAAAATATCTAGGAATGTCCAAAAAATTGTTTGCGCTTCTTCCCCACCTCTCCTTCCCTCGCCTCAGGTACAGACTGAACACATTCACTATTTAATAGGGCAACTCGAATGGCTACTTAATATATCACTGTTTTACATCTGAAGATTATTGTGTTCTGTGTAGCACTACATTTTATTTTTGTTTCTACTTAAATTACTATCTTGGAGGCTTAAAATTCTTTTTGCAGCTACTTAAACAAAATAGTTTAATCAATGTCTGGACTGAGACAGTAATTCTGCCATTCCAATTAACAGGCTGAAGAATAATGGCTACCTTCAACAAACTGATTATTGGCACTGCTGTTACCAGTTTTACCATATTTCAGCTTCTGTTCCATGTTCTAAGTTCTTGGGCATCAACAAGAATAACTCCTGCTTTTAATAATCTCAACCAAAAAAGGAAGATTGAATGGAATTCAAGGTAAAGTGTTTAAAAATAAATACAAATAATGAATTGATTCAGAAATTTAGTAATTTTCAAGCTCCCAAATATATAACAGCACATAACTGAGGATGTAAAAATTATGAAAATACCCCCATCTCCCAAAACCTATGTGAAGATCTAAGCAAAATTCCCTCCAGTTTACTGTAAATGCTGGATTACATCTAGCTTTTTTAAGGCATGCAAAGAAGGAATGTGTATGTAAGAGGTCTTCTTTCTTCTCTGAGTAGTGTCCCTCTTATGGGACACTACTTCACATGTGTATATGTGGCAGGGCGACGACGCACTGGCGCGGCGCCTCCTGCTGGTTGTCTCAGGAATTAGCTCTTCCAGCCCGGCGCACCGTCTGCAGGCTGGTGTCTCACCTGCCGCTGGCCCCCGTATCCCTCCCCGGACCCCGGTGCCTTTGTATAACAGGGTTCTGCCCCCAGCACTAAACCCTCCGTCTCTGGGTCTGCCCTCCCAGAGGAGCCCCCAACCCCCTATCCCCACTTTGCCTCAGTGGCTACTGCCAGTCTTCATCTAGCCCCTACTCCCTGGGGCAGACTGCAGTCTATAAACCACTCATCATCGGCAAGGGGGGGTTGGACCAGCTGCCTCTGCCTATTCCTGGGCTGCCTCTCTGCAGCCCTAGTACCCTTGTGGACCCTTAACTTGGCCTGCAGTCTGGGGCTTAGCTAGGCTGGAGCTCCCCAGCTCCCTCTGCCCTTCCCCAGCACTGCTCCACCCAAGGTACAAGCTTCCCAGGCAGCCAGGTCCTTCTCTTTCTAAGGAGCTAGAGAGAGAGTGTGTCTAGAGTTCCTGGCTCACAGCTCTTTTATGTGGCCAGCAGTGGTCTGATTGGGGCATGGCCTCAGCTGTGGCTGCTTCCCCAGCCAGCCTTTCCCCAGTCACAGCCCTCTCCAGGGCTGCTTTTAACCTCTCCGGGCAGGAGCGGGGTGACCACCCCGCTACAGCATGTGTTTTCAATTGGAGATTTCTGCTGGCAGTGTCCGTTTGACTTGTGCATGCACCCTACACAGCCTCGTGCCCCGCACTGAGGCTACATCTGACTGGACGGGTGAATCACCCTTAGTTCCTTTTCATCAGCCTCAGCCTGAGATGGAGCTCTAGCGTGTCCACCTTGAGTGTGCCTCATCTATTAAAATTTTATTGTTAGTTTAGCTTAGTATAGCTGTTTAGTTTAGTTTTACATTTTTTTTCTCCTTCCTTTCGGAAGGTTTCCTTTCCTGGGGAGGATATGCTCAGCTCTTTTAAATGATGCCTCACTTGCCGAGAAGTCAACCCGGCTAGCAATGACCACTCCAAGTGTGTTCGCTGCCTGGAAGACTTGCACATCTCACTGGAGCGTAACTTCTGTTTAGCCCTTAAATGCAGGGTGAAGAAGAACTGGAAGATCAAGCTGAGGCTTATGATGGCATGTTCTCTTTTATCTGCTTCAGAGGCAGGTCAGGAGACTTCCCCTCAAGTACATCAGTCTCCATACACATCCAGTGCCCTGTCAACCTCAGTTCATCGCTCCCCCAGAAAAGGGAAGGTTTCTGAGACCTCCAGAAGCCCCAGGAAGAGGAACTCCAACTCACCTTGCAGGGAGTCTCTTCCTAAAAGACATCAATCTCCCACTGGGTCAATGGTCTCAGAATTGTCGACCTCTCTGCCCAGTACCATTCAGGCTACAGGCTATCCCGGCAGTACCAGTGGAGCCAGGAAACCCCATAGCTCTTCTAAGAACAAACTCAGCTCCAAGCAAGCTTTAGTACCATCTGGGCATGTCAGAGATGGCAAGGAGAGACATTCCTCCAGCCAGTATAACTGGACGCAACCCTACCTCCAGTACTGCCCCATGACAGGTCCCTTGGTATGCTGTAAGTCGAAGCATCTGCCTCTGTCTGTGCCCTTGTTGGAGCAATCCAAACCTTTGGTACTGTCCACTTTGAGAGAGATCATCACGTTGGTACCAATGCTTTATTCGGTACCTCAAGAAGTTAGGTACTTGAAGGACTTGACTGTAGCAGAGGAACAGGAATCGCTGCTGATCATGGGCACCAAATGCCTCTTGGCACTGAGACCCGCTCGGTCACCGGACATTCATATGTCACCAGTACTGCCTAGGATGACCAGACGTCCCGATTTTATCGGGACTGTCCCGATATTTCCTTGTTTGTCCCGCGTCCCGACCGACATGCGGTCGGGAC